TCCCGCGTTTTCTTCGTTACCGACTTCTAAAGACAGCTGAGGCCTTGGCAATTCATGACTTTAAGCCAGACCTTTGTGTACAAAAGAATTATGTACAATCCCAACTGCTGCCTTAGCCGTAGAGGGATAGACATTTATTTATTTTATTTATTTAGTTATTCTATGTTCTTTTCCCTTATTACTACGATTATTATTATTATCATCATCATCATTATCATTATTATTATTATTATTATTATTACGACTCTCATTCCGAATCTTTTCCACTTGACCTACTTGACATTTTAAACCCAAAATTATTCATGTGTATACTTTTTATCCTTATTTTTACAATATTAAATTCTATGTTATCAAATTTCACATTATGTTACGTAACATTTTATATTCGTCTACTAATCTTATAATTATATACCTGTTTCCAAAATCTATACACATTATGTATTATTCTATATAGACATTAATTCTTTTGCCACTTGACATTAAACCATGATTATAATCACAAATATTTTGATTGCATTTCATACTATTATTATTTCATGTATTCACACCTTTGACCTAATTCCCACACCGGATACAATTTCTTTATAAAACCATATATATACGATTGTACACCTTGATAATGAATTCGTTGAAGAGAGTCTCTTCGCTGAAAATTGTGTTCTTAATGCTAAAATGGGAATTATTAAATTATTGAAAAAATATATGTATGTATATATTGTATCCTCTTGTTTTTACTGTGCATAATAATAGATAGATAGGTAGATAGATTGAATGAAGTTTTTATGAAGTTAGAAGATGCACAAATGCACATGTGATTGTCTTATTAGTAATTTCACCTCCATTTAATAATCTTCTATACTTTCGCCTTAATTCGTTACGTTACAAATATGTAGGCAGAGCTAGATAGCATACATATGTATATATATATATATATACCTCCAACATTAGTGGCATTCTTTTCTGTTTACATATATAGTAAGTCACTTTTGGCATATACCATAATGAGATGGAGAGCGACAATCATAAACATTTTCTAAACTACAAAGTAGAAATTTTCGAATATCATACAGGAGAAATTAACAACAAATATTCCAATGCTTAAAGACTGTAAAGGTAGTTAAATCACATAAAAGGTTGACTGTCTATCTAGATGGAAGATTTTTTGAAATATAAACCAAATTCTAAGACCGAGAAGAGTATAAAGCTTTGATGTCAAATAGTTGGAAGCAGTAGACATAAAGGCCAACCCCAGGGGCTTCAAGCTCCCATCAACCTGATATAATATCTGCAACCTTAAAAGAACTATTGTCGCCTCAAATATGTGAACCTATCAGGGTCAATGCTGCAGTCATAAACTCTGTGACTGAGCTATTCAGATTGCAGTTAACCCCCTGTATGGCTGTTGTGGATACGCTGATCGCTTATATGTCTACTATTTAATGCCAAATGTGTTTTTGCGCTTTTCAGTTGATCTGACACTGTCATCCAGTGAATAGTAAGCAGATGTTACAAAGTCCTCTATATTTTAGTTATAATGGTACGTGGTCGAATGAAAGTGTACAGAGAAGTTTACAGACTCTTCCCTCTTTGATTGGACACTAGCTAATATACATATATATATATACCTTTGCGTTCCCGAGTGGAACATAGGGCTTCAAGCTAGTGGCTTCAAGTTTCTGTAGAAGTGTTTATTTTACAGGATGGGGTTGCTAGCCTCAGGCCCAACCTTCCCTCTTTACCAGCATTATTTCTGGTTTAGCGAGGTAAAGGAGTGAGTCGGCCGGTGATCGAACCCGAACCATATGCATGGTCGGCGAGCGTCCTAAGCGCTATGCCACCGACGGACACTAGCTAATAATCAGTGTAAATTCCTTTCTTTGGTATAGACTAAACTGTGTTGTGGCCACAATGCAAATTGCACTGATAGAATGCAGTATGCACCTAAGAAAGGATTAGATAAATTACATTAGTTACTAGCTAGTGTCCAATCAAAATATCCAATACAGTCCTACAGGAGCCCGAATAGCTCAGTGACAGAATTTCTGACTGCAACATTGGGTGACGCGGGTTCGAATCTCAGAAGGGATGAGTACCAACTAGTACGAAACCAGGTGAGACTAGACTTTCTGCCGATTGTCTCCAATCATCTAAATCACCAGGTTCTTTCCTCATTTCTTATTCGTCCTTTGGAACGTCAGTGAAAGTTGACAAGTGCTGTTCAAAGTGAATTGAATTACAAATCAATCTGCGGACTATCGTGTCGTAGGTATGATGACACAGTCATATTCCAGCTAAAAATTCATCATTATAACATTCCCTAATTGTTTCTTAATCCCATATTTCAGCGAAAGTCTTCTCTGAAAAAAAACAGTCTATGTACCATCAATAAACAACTTTCTTTCAAATAGTGCCTGGTAACTTTACCCTCTGACTGCATATAAAATTAAATAAGTTTTACCAATTACTGTATTTGTATTTTACGCTTGCTTTGCTGACCACACATAAAGACCAATCAACTGGTCCTTTCTCTAATCAGGTCAACTGTTTAATTTCTACACTAATTAACTAATTAATCATCCTGTTTTTAGCTGGAAAGGTAGTGGGAGGAAATTTCAATCACTGTAAGCGGTTAACAAAAGGCCGCCCACTACCACGGATGATATTCTTGATTGCGATGGACTGGATTAGAAAACAGATGGTGAAGAAGGCGAATCAAAAAGAAGACACTGGAAAATCTGACGAATGTCACAGAAGATAAAGGTCTATAGGTGAAAGCTAACAAGCTGACAGAAGAGGCAGCGAAGATACAATTCTAAATGAACACTTGATACACAGAGGTCATGAAGTTACTTAACTAACAATAACAAACATCAGTCGTAATTCAAGAGAGGAATCTGGAAGAATTCACTTCTGTTACTTATCTAGTCAGTAACATTTTGACGGCACGGAATGAGGATATCAGAGGCAACAGTGAAAAAGCAATACTGAAGATCTTCGTTAATTTGAAGTTAGTGTGGAAATTTTCTGCACTCAGCACTAGGAATAACATTCGAACTTTCAGCACTGGCGTTAGATCAGTCAGCACTTCTGTATGATACAGAGAGCTGGTGAACGTGTCACTGAGAGCATTTCAAATAGGCTTTAGAGTTCTGTCAACAGCTACCCTCACTTCATATTGAAAATCTGATAGCCAGAAAGCATTCGCGAAAAGGAACTATGGTAGGCAGCAGAGAAACCAAGAATCTACTGCTCAACGAACATGTAGAGGGAAATGAAGATGGATCCGTCATCAGCTGAGGGGACCGTTCAGCGACACCACACGCCAGGTCCTCGAGTGTAACCCGAATGCTCAATGACAAGCACGACACTCTATTCGCAACCCAAGAGAATAATAACTAATGAATATAATAATACAGGCAAGTTTACTGCAATAAAAAAGAATTCGGACACTGTGGTGGAGTATAATTTCGTTTTAATAATTTCAAGGCTTTGATACTTCATCAGTAAGTAATAATTGTAATAATAGCTTTATTCCTAACAGTACTTCTGGTACAAGTGTGGAATTTTCAGCATGTAGTACGACACTGCATCTAACTTCCTCATTACAAGGGTATTAATTAAAACAGGTATTTACATTATTATTATCGTTCAATAAGAACATGAACATACAATTGAAATTTAATTGGAAATATCAACAACAATATAACAATGAAAGAAACACTAAAAAGGGCCATTTACTTAGTTTCCCCCAGTAAATTGGTATTGTTATGCTTTACGCTTTTCTTATCACATAAAATCTGTGCATGCCAAATAAGGTATTGAGGAATTTTTATGATTAGTCATTTGAGCATAAAGTCTCCTGTAGCTGCTTCTATTCCCACCTGATAAGACGCAAGGAGGGAGTTGTGTAAAGAGGGGATGCTCAGAGTCTGACAAGATAATATTTGCTGACTTCTTGCAGAAGTCCATGTGTCTACCTACAGCAGCTATGACAAGTTGGTTTACCGGCATCTCACTCGCCCTACTGACGGCTTTTAATGCCCTTCGTAGTGAAACAAAGTGTTTCTTAAATAGCTCAGGGAAGATTAAGAGAATGCAATAAAGACAAATAAATAAAATACAAAAAATCACAAAAATCAATAATAGAGACTAAGTGATACCATGTTGTTTCAACTTCTTTGTCTAGAAGGTTAAACGTAATATCATTCTAGAAACTAACATGACGTGGGAAGACCACGAAGGATTTGACGAAATACACAATCCGAAGTATTTATCATTCGAATTAGTTCCAACTTCAGTGCCATGAACCAGTTCATGTAGGTCACACTTGCGTCTGTAGGTGAAAGTAACAACCTGAAATTTGGAGTGATTTAGCTTAAGACCATTTGACGAGTACCACTGATTAACTTTTAGTAGAAAACGTCACTCACTTTGCAACAATCTGGTTGTTAGGAGTACCGCCAACATAGAAACAGTCAGATCATCGTCATACTTAACAAAATCGGCTTCATACAAATGAGACTTAAGTCATTTAAGAAAAGGAGAACATTGCCCTGAGGATCATCAGCTAGAGCAAGTAAAACAGTGGAGGAATTCACATTGTAAGTAGTGTACTGCTTCCCGTCAGAAAGGTAAGAATGCAACGATTTATTAATCCAGTACCCTTCCTGTGTTTCAGCAAACTTACTTAGTGAAATAAGCTTAGGTGCAGAGCCAAAGGAAGATGAGGAATCAAGGAAGGCACACTGAACACATTTAGCACCACTGTCTAAACTAGAGACAATATTATGATGAAAGACAACATTGACATATGAAGCCTGCCTATTGTGCTTATAAGCTGATTGTTTAGGGTCATTGAAAGCCTTCAATTAAGGCCCAGTATTGAATGAAAGCAGTTTTTCCACCACTTTTCTAAAAAATGGTGAGTTAATAGCAATAGGTCGAAACTTAACACATAATTCACCTCGTAACTTAATCATAGGAACAATTTTAATATACTTCTATAAAGCAGGTAAAACAACATCAGTGGAAAATAACTCATTGAAAATACTAATGGGAGGATAACATAAAGCATCATCACATTTTCTGTGGACAATAGCAGTTATAGCGTTTGGACTAAGGGACTGGGGGCATAGAAAACACTTGAGGACATCGTCTGTATCAAAACCAGAAAAGCGGTCATTGTTTACACTTATAGAATTTGAAATCATAACATCCGGTAGACGATTTATGGAGGAATCATTGAATGTACGAACATTAACTGAAGAAGGATCATCATTTACATGTTTACCACCAGTGATTTGCTTAACTAATTTCCATATATTCGATGATGTTTTGCACGATAAGAACTGATTAGAAACCACACTTAATCTGTTTAGTATCATATAATATTTAAAACAAACTCCTCCTTCATCCATTAAATATTAAGGCTTATTATGGTGTGTTGCGTCATGTGATGACAATTCGGGCAGAAAGGTGAGCAGAAATATATCAGGCGTTCGTTTGCAAGGATTTGATAGATTAGAGGATTTCATCATGAGCGGACATCAGTTAGGGAACCAATGGAAAACCTGGCAGTAATGGACAGCAGCTTCGTCCTAGCCTGCGATTTTCTATTAGCACGCAATCAGTGGATTAAACAGGTGTTCAGTAGTTCCATGTTTTCCAATGGATCTCCAATCGATGCCAGTTCACGATGAAATTCTGTAACCAATTAGAACCTTGCAAACCAGCACTTGAATATTAGTCTCATGCTCATTAGTGACTGACCCAACCAATTAGTTAGTATTCTGGGTCGCAATGAGAAGTCGTCACCAGTGGGGTACAGCAGGACGGGTGTGAGGACAAACGCTCACCACGGGTGAAATGGGCTGGCGGCCACGTTATATCATGAGTTAGCGGAAGTTGGAACTCATGGGCTGGCCATTCGATCGGGTGCCGGCGACTGAGTAGTCCACTAGTTAGCCTCATGGGTTAGAACCACTGTGGTGGATGCGTGTTGCTGAAAGAGTCCCAAACTATGGCAAAACAGCTATCCAGTATTCTCAGGTTTTCCACAAGTTCTCCAACAGGTGTCAACTCGTAGTCGAACCTGTAATTCTCTGTATGACTATTTACAGCTTAAACTATCGCCTTTCATTACAATTACCGTAATCAATATTATTTTACTTTGGAATTTCTACAGATTCACTTAATCTGAAAACCATACAGATGACTGAAATGATTTCACAAGTGAGATTTGTGCTTTCCTTACATGATGATATCCCTACAATGGAAAACTTACAGAAATAAATAGCCATCAAGAAAACTCACACTTGCCTGATGATATCTGCAAATTCACCAAACCTAATCAGTCTAAAAATTGCCTTTAGTTTATTCATGCAGAAGTTGGGGATACAACATTAATTCATCTCTGAGATTCGGCAATTCAAAATTTCTATTCGATTTTATGCTCCTTTTCAACTTTAAAGTTACATATGTAAAATCGGTTTGAACATTTTGAACTAGCGCCTTCTCGACTTGCATTGCTAGAAATGGCCCGGATTTAAGATAAAGGAGAAAGATATTAATTTTGGGATATGGATAGATGGTGAGGATACATTCATGGGTTATCACACACTAGGCCATTTAGTGGAAAAAAATTAGATTTGGGTGCATCCACACCATCTATCTAACGGTTTATGACGCTACTGCCTGTCTGAGTAACTGCAGGGGGCTCAAACTCTTACTCTTTGGTGTCATGGTTACTCTGGCAGATACCTTGTCGTAGTTCCCGCTGGATGGAGTCGCTTGTAGCTTCCCTATCTAAATTATATGAGGATGAGAGTGAACTATTCTTCCACTTTTTGGGATTTCCGTACGTGTTGACTTTCTTGTCGTGCTATCGTCTTGGTGTTTCGGCATCGTGGAGAGCATGATTGGGGTACTGAGTAAAATCGGCAGCCTAGTCGTGAAAACCGAGCTGGAAGAATGTAAGTGAGAGCTCGTATCCTGTGTTCACTGGGCAGCTTGATTCTAACTTCTAAACAACCTCTGAGGGGATAATAACCGAGACTAGTTCGCTCATGGACGGTGGCTTTTAAGACTTCATCAGACTGCAGTTGGTCGTGGGTCTTAGTTCCTGAATAAGGTGTGGGATCTGTGGTCGGTTGTGTGTCTTTAAAATTTTCCATTGACGTTATATGGCGCAGGTTAGGGGTGCAACCTCCAGTTGCTTGGTGCGCAAAAGCGTCAGGGTTACGCCCATGATTCAGTGGGAACAAAGCAGCCGTGGAAGTATTCGCCCGCGGTCCGGGACCCAGTCTCTGATACGAAATAATCATTTTTGTACACTATCCCAAGAGGGAGTATATGACTATTCTCTCTATGCAGGAAGCATTCGGGACCGCTGGTGGTTCGGGATGTTGAGTGGATTCATAGGCTGAGGTAAGCGTGGAAGGAGCCTAAACAGAGAATTTAATTCTCCTACCCATGCTTTCCTTGGTGAGTGGAGGGGAGCCACCGGAGGAATACTGTCCGCATCTGATATGGTCTTACCAGCTTAGATATTTTCATAAGAGCTGTCCCTGATCTAATGATGATGGTTGTATGCTACCTGCAAGGTGGGTATGCAAATCATGTGAGTGGCCGTGACTCACTGAGATGGGGCAGTAATGTACCACCTGAGGAGCCTCCATGGTTTGGTTGATACCATACCGGAAATCACCTACCGCTGGGGGAGCGTTGACAAAGTGCCCGGCATGGGTTGCTTCTATATAAGCTTAAGCGTGACTATGGATACTGGCTCAGCAGGAGAATACAGGGATATGTGGGAATTCATAGTACCGACCTGTCATATCGAGACCTTGTTTGAAAATTAACGCGAAATACATAAACTGATGAGCCCCATCTATGTTGTATGCAAATAAAAGGTAAACCCTATTCGATAAAATTCATTTCACTAATAACCATTAAGTGAGTTTGAATAAAGTTATATCTGTAAAATATAAGCCAAATTGAAATGATTAATTCCAACGTTTCGTTCGGCAATCTGGTCCGAACTTCTTCAGGGAAATTAATCGAAATTAACATAAAAAAGGTTTATATTTAAAGGGACACATCCTGTTTTTCAAAATTTTGTCCAATCATGAGTCATGCAACAGTTATCAAAATGTATAATAAATAAATAAATGAATAGAATTGTATGTTATTATAAAAGTACATCTCTTATTTTTAAATATGAATCAATAGGTATACTAAACAAAACAAAACAAAAATTGTATGAACTATGATCAAAAACTTTTTGACCTCAGACTTTCAAAATTTGTCTACTTTTATTGAATTGAATTTTTGATTTTCCCGTCGATTGTGGGAACGTCATCACTCACTGAGAAATGCAGGTACATCCAGCTGATGAGTCCCAAATAGGACGAAATGCGCATCCTGGATTCCACTGCTAGCCACCATCCACCAATTATTTGTCTACTTTTGTTAAAATATATGTGTGTATGCAGTATATGCAGCATAAAATGGTGTGTGTGTGTGTGTGTGTGGGTGTGTGGGTGGAACAGTCATAAAACATTTGCTATTCTCATATGAGCTGTGATCAAGATTTGACCGGATAGTTACAAAATAATTGACATTTTTATAAATATAATTTAATTTTTATAGATTTGTTATTCTCTTCATATGAAGACGTAGACAATCGGGAATTTGACCAAGTGTGACTACTTGTTCATACATATCAAATTTTATTTTGTTTATTAGTCAGGATTTGCCATGAATCGGCTAACATCACACCTTCACGTCTGTTTAAACTGTTGGGATTCACCCATATATGTAGGGCTTCTGCAGTCAGTCTTTCTTGATATGAACCAAAACCTTTCTGTAAAACCTTAGTCTTATCAAAGTCGATTTTGTGTCCCGTCTCTATTGAATGTAGTGCAATCGCTGAGTTGTTTTCTAGCTTCTTCAAGTCTGCAGAGCTCTTTGGAACCACCTTTAGACATTGTTTATGCTCTTTCATTCTTATATTTACCTGTCTAGAAGTTTCTCCTACATATACTGCGTTACAATCCCCACAATTGATCTGGTATACGCAATTCTGCTGGTTTTCTTGTTCTATTTTATCCTTAACCTTCACCAGTAATGAGCGTAAGGTGTTAGATGCACGAAAGTACACTCTTATGTTATGTTCGTTAAGGATTCGCTTTATTTCATCGGATGTTTCTTTGCGGTAGGGAACCACCGCTGTGCTAACCCAATTCTTAGCAGCAGGTTTTGATTCATCCTTATCTTCACATCTTAAGTATCTTTTTATGAAGGCTTTAGGATAATTATTTGACTCAAGAGTGGATTGAACTAATTTTAGTTCCTCGTTAATATCTTCCTCCTCAGTAACTAGACGTTTGGCTCTGTTGATCAGATTCTTGGCCACAGTTACTTTGGTGGTAAATGGGTGAGCTGAATGGTAATCTAGGTATCTATCCGAATTTGTCGGCTTTCTGAAAATGTTTATTTTAAATTTGCCGTCTAATTTTCTTTTTACTAAACAGTCCAGAAACGCCAACTCATTTTCATCGGATTCAATCTCTTTGGAGAACTTGATGGTTTCTGACATATTGTTTATTAACTGAAAAAGTTCATTTAACAAACTACGTTTGATTATGATGAAGGTATCATCTACGTATCTTAACCACATCTTTGGGGGACTAAGGCATCTCATAATTGCATTTGTTTCTAATGAGTGCATAAACAGATTGGAGACTAGCGGAGATAATGGTGATCCCATAGCAATGCCTCCTATTTGACGATAAAGAACCCCTCTTCGATCCACGTTATTTACGTTCAGAGGGGTTCTTTATCGTCAAATAGGAGGCATTGCTATGGGATCACCAGTATCTCCGCTAGTCGCCAATCTGTTTATGCACTCATTAGAAACAAATGCAATTATGAGATGCCTTAGTCCCCCAAAGATGTGGTTAAGATACGTAGATGATACCTTCATCATAATCAAACGTAGTTTGTTAAATGAACTTTTTCAGTTAATAAACAATATGTCAGAAACCATCAAGTTCTCCAAAGAGGTTGAATCCGATGAAAATGAGTTGGCGTTTCTGGACTGTTTAGTAAAAAGAAAATTAGACGGCAAATTTAAAATAAACATTTTCAGAAAGCCGACAAATTCGGATAGATACCTAGATTACCATTCAGCTCACCCATTTACCACCAAAGTAACTGTGGCCAAGAATCTGATCAACAGAGCCAAACGTCTAGTTACTGAGGAGGAAGATATTAACGAGGAACTAAAATTAGTTCAATCCACTCTTGAGTCAAATAATTATCCTAAAGCCTTCATAAAAAGATACTTAAAATGTGAAGATAAGGATGAATCAAAACCTGCTGCTAAGAATTGGGTTAGTACAGCGGTGGTTCCTTA